GATAACAAAAAAATATTGTACACTCTGTTGCATTAAAGGATTGATATTGTTTTTTACTAATATTGTCATAATTAGTGTTATATATATAATTTTAAAGAATCAATTTTAATAAATTATTAAAAAAAATAAATGTTTTTTTTTTAATTTTTATATTCCGTCACCGTTCACAGCACTCCATACCTATTCCACTTATATACCACATCCTTACACACTTATATTAAATTAGTTATTTTTTTCTAGCAAAATATTCTCTAGAAATAATTTATAAGACAAAACAACGTTTGTCAGGTCATTTAGTTATTTTTATAATTATTTATTGATATGATTAAGAACAATAATTATTATTAATCATATAAATAATAGAATAAAACGGTTGATGTGATATTGAATTATAATGAGGACACCAAGGGCCCGGGTGAAAAACTGTATTTATTCGAATATTCATAAGAAGCTTTTTAAAATTGGTATAATGCAGGGTTATTTTTATGTGCACCCCGACACACAATGTGCACCACGAATGTACAAGTGTGCACTACGGTCTACAAAACAAAAATTAAATAATAAGCCAACTACTAGGAAATATGAGTATTATTGAATTTTTTAAAATGTAATGCATATATATATATTATGTACGTAATATATTCCTTTTTTCTAAGATAGTAGCGAGACTAAATTTTAATTTAAAGCAGTAAAATCAAGTGTGCAGTCCGAAATTGTACAAATAATAGGGCCTGGTATAACGTGCAAATCAAAATCTTTAAGCTGTGTTTTCATGCCCCTAATGCAGTGCTTCCCAAACTTTGGGAACCGCTGCCTTAATTGCTAGTTAAATTGTAAAAACAGTAAATCAAAAGTAAAACCCTTAAATTATCAAGTCCATTCTGAGATCTAAGACACTTAAGTTAATGCGAAAAAATAAAATCGAATGACTATAAAATTACTCATTTGATAACCTTGATTGATTTTGCATAGGATATAATAATAATAATATGATAATGCATAGGATTTGAAAAATGTATATATGTGGCTATATGTGGCCTGATGTGGCTACGTGTCAGAAAACCTTCTGATTTATCTATGTCCGCACCAGAAAGAAAAACAAAAAATATCGTGCACTTCAATCAATAGCAATAAACCGAGAACTTGAACTGTCAGACTTCTCTCGACAAAACGAATAAAAATACATAATGATCTAAAGTATATTGAATATTTTTGAACGATATTTATGGTATTCCTTTAAATTCAGTAAATGGCACATCAAGGTGTACATATTTACTATTTACCTATTACAATATATACATGACAAATTATTAAAATATTCTACCCGTTATTTCGGATAATTTCCACATCAAAAGACATACCATCTACAGCGAATAACACCTCAAAAGAGTTGAACACTTACAATTTTTTTATCGGGCAACGTCAGGAGATTCAGCTTGTATCGAATATATCAAATAATAATGAATGTTAATAATAATAGTACAATGGAAATTATATCAAACAATTTCTTAGCGTACCATCTTCGAGGTTTCCAATCGTACCACAGGTTAGGATTATTATATTCTGCCTATTCCGTTTATATTACACTGTTTCCGTTTTATACGCAATATTTTATACACTACTATTATTACGCCCATATAATTGGTAATTTCAGCGTTCCGCCCGATTTGAGAATTGCCCGCGAGATATTAATTTTAATATTATCACCTTACCGTGCAATTTATGACTATTTATATAGATTATCTAGTCAATACATCAATAATCATATGTATAATTTACAATAATATATAATGGTATAATAAAATAAATAAATGGGGCCGCAAATTAACCATAAATTTATTTTTGATAGTCTTATATATTGCTAAATTTAAATTAAAATAGTTAAATTCATTAATAGTTAAATAAATTTAATAATACACAATTCGAAAAAAAAAACACAATATTCACTTACGATCGTCATTTAAAAGGTACAATTCAACAATATATTAAGAAATTCATTTTCTTTTAACGCTGGATATACTATCCATAGGACTATCTGCTGGGTTTATACAGAATATTAGAAAAGTATAAAGCCAAATGTAATAAAAAAGATTACATTTTTATTACTCTCATATTTCTCCATACCTCTAAGTTCAAAGCACTAAATTTTAATCTTTATTAAATGAGAAGGACAATGAATTAATTGTAAGTTATAGCAATACTCAATTATGTCACCAAAATTGAATTGGTAAATTAAGGTTTACTACAGCTGATAGATCAAAATTGGCAGGTATCTATATTTGGCAGGTAACTTATTTTATTTTATAATATACTATACTGCCATCTATACTGGTTTCTATTCAAAGGGTATTAAATGATGTCCAAGATTCTGTGGAAGGAACATCATTGAAATGTTTATAGTATAAGTTTTATGGCCAAATAGTTAGTAAAATGTAATAATAATCCAATTTAGTATTTCAAATACTGTGCAAGATGATTTTGCAACAAATTTAGGAAAAGATGATTTTTGTATTTGGAAATTACTAAATCTGTGTTGATGGGACCCATGGTTTAAACTTTAAACAGCTAGGTACGCTTTTATAACAAAAATACAAAATATTAAACCTAATTATAACATTTGTATTATATTTTCGCTTGAAGTATTCGCAATGAATTGTTTATTATTAAATTTATTGAACTATTAATGTATTTAACTATCCATCTATTAAACTATCCCTGATATCTGATATATCTACTTGCCCTTCCCCAAGTAATCTGCCTCGTGTATTAAAGTGAAAACGGTGTAGAGTTCTATTAAATCAGCAAAAGAGTTGTTACCAATAGGTTTCTTCCTTAACCCGTTATTCACGTTATTTTAATCCTATTATTATATTTGCTTATTGTAAAAATTGGTTTATAGACTGTAAATCGGCTTTTAAATAAAAATATATAAATAAATAAAAATGTATATAATATAAATTGCTACCATTATGCCGTATCGACTAGTAATGGAACATATTCGAATTTTCCATAGTTTGCAAATCCGGTTTCTGAATTCTAAAACTCGAATTTTGCTGAACCCGGATTTTGGATTTGAAACATCGAATTAGGATTCTTTTATGCATTACTTATAATAAAGTAATAGTAAACACATATTTTTTTAATTAAGTTTATACATTTAGTGTACCTATTTGATTCAAAAAATTAACAACTAGAATTTTTATTTAAAATTTTCTATTATATAATTTAAAAATTAAAAAATCCATTACATCATTTCGGTTCAATAATATAAACTCAATTAAGTACAAAAATACAAAACTTGGATTATAAAACCTTGGAAATTTAGATTTTGGATTTAAAAATTCAGTTCCGGATATTTAAGATTTCTGAAGGATTCGGATTTATATCTCATCACTGATTAATTATCAATCAATTTATCACGTTGCTTTTGAGTTTTTTAATTTGTATTAAAACGTAAGAAAATGGCCAAAATGAAATAATCCCGAATAATCGATTCTAATTAACTTCCAAATTAAAAACAATTTTTTTCTTGCCAATTAGAAATTTTGTGGGTGAAGTTTAATACTGTACAGCTGTTGGGTACAAAGTCACCCCTCAGACCGTATTTATCAATTATAATAACGTATACGTAATACGTTTGTATTATATATATATGCGTCTGTATGTATAAGTATAAGAACAGTTTTGTGAACGAGCGAAGGGCACGGGGAATGTTTTGCTAAAATTACGAATGTATTTAATTATTAATGTAGGATAAGCGACTACAACACCTGAGTCCACTTAACACAATTGAATTTCACCAACTGCAAAAAATAGCCGAGTAATTTATGGAACAATGACTTTATTGTTCAGTACGAAACTTTTATCTACTCGTATGTCGTCGTGTCGTTCATTTTTGTTTCCATGCCATTTACCTTATAATTCGTAATAATAATACAGTAGGTACATACTACCCGAAGTAATACGATTATAAGTATAATGAATTCATATGAATCAAAAATATGTAAAAAAAAATATAGCACCACCTATTTTGTTAAATTCACACAGCATAAATATGTTTTTAGTAAAAAAAAAAAACTATAAAGTTGATCCAATTTTTGACTAAATTTTCAAGAAAAATAAGAACAGGTTGTCGTATAATATCTAAAAATATGTATAATTTTCAATATTTTAGACTTTAGACTGGTATAGTTTCACCATACAATTATATAAGATTATAAATTAAAAAAATATACTAATTTCGAAATTGGAATAGTTTTGCTAATATGTTTAAATTATTATTACATTTACCATTGAATGATTTAGTTATGTAATTTTATAAATTATAAATTTTTTCCTTTGATGTAGCGTAGAATAACAATTGTTTGAGAGAATATGCATTACACTCGTTCTTTTAATACAAAATCTACATTAACATTAACTATTAGGTAATTGCTGTCATAAAAGTATTAATAAAAAAACAAAAACCTACAATTAAAACATGTATAATCTATATTAAGAATATATTTATATACAACAATTGCTGATGTGTCTAAATAAAAATTCAGAAAAGATATGTATTATTTTTGTACTTGCAGGAGTCTTTAATCATAGAAAAGATTATTTTTTAGAAGTCACAATACTAAAAAATAATTTTAAATATTTATGACATAACCATCTAATCAATCTAATAATTAGGTTGTAGATAAAATTATTCATAAAAATATTTTCCATATTTTAGAAAAATCATAGATATATGTGAAACAAATATTCTTATTCTACATATATCTAAGATATTTCTTAATTTTCCTGAGTATATATTATAAAATAAATGTAGACTCATTGTTCATAATAATAATTGGATAAAAAATAAGAAGCTCATTCAACCATTTAACCACTTTATTCTTCTAAAATACTTCAACTAATCGATAACATCATATATTTTAAATAAATTGCAATAATCCAGTAAAATTAAAAAAAAAAAAAAAAAACAACAATGAATTTAGGAAGTACTTGGTAAACAATAATTAATACTAGTATTATTTTTAGCATTATAATTAAATTCTAATGAAACATCTACACAATAATTTGTTTATCACAACGTTAACAGACTAGTATGTTAATTCCACTTGTTGGTGTACTCTTAAATTTACTTTAAGGCATAAACATGTTTTATTTAAGTAATATATGTATAATTTGAAATAGTTATAAATTATGCCATGGAGACGCATTACTTTATCAACTGAATAATTTGTGTGCTTTGACTTTGAGTGGATTTTTGAAATTCTTCAAGTAACTGTAAAAATGATGCAAAATCATATTATTAGTTTTATAATTAGTAACACAATTACAAAAAATTAACTGAATTTTAGTATTTAAATCAAATTTATTATTTTTAAAACATACATCAAAACATATTTCTGATTCCACTAATACTCTATTGTGTGTATTATTTGAACAACACGCTAAGAGTGTAGGATACAGTATTGAAGTCAATGTGGGATTGCTGAAATACTGAAATGGTAACGTACAAAGTAATTGGAGCACAGTTGGAGATTGTCCAGACTGTAACATTGACTAAAACATAAAATCAATAAAAACAGTTATTTCAATTATAAATTGAAAAATTTTAAATAATTATTACTTGATGCTGAGCACTGTTTAAAGTAAAATATCCAACAGCAACAATAACATTATTTAATATATCTTTATTTTCTGGTTTTTCAGAACAAAACCATAATAAATATCTAGCGATATGCCGGAATTGAACAGATAAACTTTCAGCTCCAAGCACTTCCTAAAACAAAAAATGCATACACAATATTAACACTAAATATATTATAATCTGATAAAAACAAATATAAATGCATTGTTTTTTATCATACTTGGAATGTTTCTGGATTCATTTTAGCAATTGATGTCAACATGCTGAATACAGCTTTGGTAACTTTGAGTACGGCAGCAGATAAATCTGTTGGACCTAGTCCATTAGCACTACAGTCATCCCGTAACAATACACTATATAAAACTGGCATTACACCTAATAGTTCAGTATTTTTCAGAATATCTGTGAACTTTTTAACTGATGGACCAATGCTGAAAATGTGATATATAAAACAATAAAATAAGCAAGTTAATATAAACTTATAATTACTTACTTGATTTCAGATAGGCTGCCAATAAAAGATAAACAATGTATGACAAAATTAGTCACATGTCCATTGGTTTCAGGGTAACTATCTCTTACTAATGTAAAAAATTGTACAATCTTGTCTAGTACACCAATATAACATATATAGCTGAAAATATTATTGATTAATAAATGATTTTATTTATGATATTATTTACATGTGGGCTTATTACCTAATCAAGTCACGAACATGCTCATTATCTTCTTGATCATCAATTTTAAATGACAAGAAAACAGTCATTAACAATTCCAATAACTGTCCACTTATTGCACAATCTGTTTGAGCTTTCATTTTAAAATTACTTTCAACTCCAGTATCAGGTATAATTTTCTAAAAACAATTAATAAAAAAATGTATACACCTAATTTAAATCATGCAATAAATAATAATTACGTTTAACTCAGCTGTAAGTAAATCCAAAATAGTGAAGATGTTTTGTGAAAAGATCACATTTTTTGAATTTGTTTCACTATGATTGCACAATTTTAAAAATAATTTGTTTGCCTTCATTACATATCTGTGAATAAAAGTTAAGAAAATTTAATATATTATTCACAACATCAACTTAATACTTAAAAATTATATTAAGTAAGTTTAGTTCTTTTATTTTAAACATTTTATCGATAAATGTAATTTAAAACATGACTATATAATATTTAATACTAATACATTTGGTCTACAACCATAAAAAAATATAATTAGAATACAAACTTGATAAGAAATTCAGAAGTATTTATCACTTTATTTTCATTTAGTCCCATGATTAATATTTTATTTAGAACTGTCAATCCATCACTTCTTGAAACCAATGATTGAAAATCTTTCGTCTAAAAAACAGAATTTAATTCCTTAATTATACTTCAACTAAACAAATACTTAATATTAAATTATGTATTAATATTTATATTTTAAAACTACACACTGAATACTGATTTTTTAACAAAACCCTAATTATTTATTATTTACATTATAGTGTTTTAAAGTTATTTAAAAAGTATTTGTGGTTTATACTTTTTTAGTTATAAACAATGAATAAAATATATAATGATAATTTTATTTCATATCTTTTTCCAGATATATTGAAACTTTCTTTTACTTATGAACATAATTCTATCAGAAGTTGTCACTTAACCATTAAGACAAATTTTATGATTACTTTATGATTTAAAGATCACATTTACTTTTAAAATCTTATTTTTAACAATTTTTTTCAAAAATATTAAGTCAATCGATTTGTATGAACTAATGAACAATGAATTATATGTCATAATTTATAGAAATTAAGGGATAATGTTCAGATTTTTTTTGAATTCTTATTAATTTTAAAGTAAAATAAAATTTTAACATACAAATGTGGATAAATAGTCATACAATTTTTTTTTACATAATACTGAATTTTGAAACTGAATAAACACATTAAATTTAAACTGTAATTTAGAGGATTTATTGTTATATCAACAAATTTGTAAAACCATTTTATTATGAAATAGAACATTAAATGTTTATAAATATTATCCATACTTCAATTTTAATAGTAATTGTTAAAAATTGTTATGTTTACATATTTCAGTGTCTTATAAGAAAATGTATTTTTAATTATATGCTAACTATGTAAAAATAAGTAATAGAAAATTACTCCAATTGTGAAAAATTGTGAAATATAACAACCTATACATTATAATTTTTAACTATGTGGAAATTAAGGTGTATAAGATTTATTTATTACATACTGAAATTTCATTTGAACGTTTTTCTAAAAACATTAACTTTGTTTCCAGATTTTTCAACGCACTTTTGGACCATTGTTCATTGTTTAGTTCGTTAAGATGTTTATCAATAGCATTGACACAAATCTCTATTGTAGTCTTGTCCACCGATGAATCTAATTTAAGTGAATTATCTTCAAATTTCTTACTCCTAGAATATTAAATGTATTATTTATTCATATTTAAAAAGTTAAATAAAAATAATTTTACCTAGTCAAAATTCTATATCTTAACTTCATACATCTTTTGCGATTGTTTTTCATCCTTAATTTGCTATCTGTTTTTTCATCAGTAATATCTGTATCCATCGAAATAGTATCAAAAGATTTAACTCTCTTTAATTTCTTCTTTTTTATATCCTGACTAAACTTATCTACTATAAAATGTTCCACTTTGGTTAGTTTTTTAATTTTCTTTATACGTTCTTTATGAGTTTTTGTCCGCAAATGATGATGCAAAGCAATAACTGTTTCAAACTGAAAATTGAATAAGACAAAATAAATTAGAAAAGTCTGTAATTCTTATTATACTTGGTACATAAATTATTCCATTGGGACATTATGATTCTAAGGAATGACTATTTATTAAATTTTAACAATAATTTAAAATAATAGAAAACTTTTCAATAAAAACCAATAAGAATCAATTTTAATAATATTAATTATTTATTAAGACAGTAATCTCTCATTAAAACATTTTGATCATTATAATATTCATGAAAAATAATTTTTTATGAATAATGTACATACCAACATTTCACAAGAAGGGCAATATCTTTCCATATCAACATCATTTTTCTGAACACCTAAATCAAGAGCTCGTTGTCTTATATGCTCAATATTTTGTTCGTGTCGCTTTGCCGATTCATTTTGTTTTTGTTGAATTTTTTTTTGTAATTCTTCAGTACTAGCCATTTGAGCTGCATACAAAGCAGTTAATTTGTTTTCTCTCTCTTTAGCTTTTTCTCTAGCTAGTTCAAGCCTTTCTTTTTCTTTTTCTTGTTGTTCTCTACCAATTCGTTCCTCTTTTATTCGTCTCCGCTCTAATATTTGTTCAATACGTTCTTGACGTACAGCTTCTAATGCTTTTAAACGTTCCTCAACAGCAGCTTCTTTAGCAGCTTTTCGCTCTTGATTACGTTTACGTTCTTCTAATATTGTTTGTAACCTATCTTCTTGTTCTTGCCAAAGAGTAAGAATATCATGACGTCGATTTTGAGCCTCCAACTCATTGATAAAAGCTATTTCACGAAGTTTTTCTTCTTCATCATGAGCTTTTCTTTGAATTTGTCTCAAGTGTATCTTACGATTTTCTTCAGCACGCTTAAGTTTTTTATCTATATTTATACGTTTTTCATCAATTAATTGACTCTGCAACATTTTTCTTTCACCAACCTAAATTGAAAAATATAACTTTTTTATAGTAATTTTTTTTTTTTATTTTATATATAATAAATATTACCTTTTTCAGAAGTTCACGAACTTTAGTTGATTTGTCTTGCAATAACTGCTGGCGTTTTTGATGAGCTTTAGCTTGTCTAGCACTATAGGTTTGTTTAATTGATTCTGTAGATCTGCATATATCCCACGAAGGCATTGCAATAGAATCAATAGCGCTTTCATTGCCATATTGAATCAGTGCTTTTATTTCATTTATTGTATACATCCGTTCTGTCAATATCATATTGTCCAAAAGATCTGAATAACGATCAGATTGTGTCATATCATCACTACAGCTACTTTCAGCATTTTCTAATTCTCGTATTTCTCTAGCCAACATCATTTCTTCATCAAAGAATTGTCTATTACGCAACAATTCTTCATCACATATTCGTTGTTCTTCAATTTTATCTTTTAGCATTTCTTTCCTCATTTGATCAATTATTTTGTTTTTTTGAACAGGTGGCTTATCTGGTTTACATTTCTTTTTTGGAAATTCAACTGCATTGGATATAATAGGTCGATCATTTTTATCAGGTAAAATATTTTTAGGCTTTGGTTCTTCTGGATTAGATGTAATAACAGCTAAAGCAGGCATAGAACTAGCTGATGATGGTACTTGAAAACGTTTTTTTATATCAAATGAAGATTTAAGTTTAATATTACTTGAACTTTGTGTTAATGGATTACTACGGCGAGACCTTATAACAGTTTCCCAACCATCATTTCCTTTAACAATTCCACGTTTGGACATTTTTGGAGCTTTTAAATCAATTGATGTTTTTGAACGAGTTAATTTTTCAATTTTTTCTGTAACATTATGAACCATATTAACAGAATCAATAGATTTTCTTTTAGATTTGACCAAATTTAATTTTTGACTCATATTTTCTTCTTCATTATTCGAATGATCAATACAATTATGTGTTGTATTATTTAAGTTGTGCAATTTTTCCAGGTCTTCTGTAACATTTTTGTTTTCATTACATTTTTCCTTATTTTCTTTAGAAATTGGAGTTGATGGATTTTTTTTTATACTCTCAATAGCTTTTGTATTATTAATTGTAGGTTTTGTTAAGCGAGGAGTTGATGTAGATTGTTTTTTTAACAGATCAGTTCTTGGCTTATCCTTTTCATCATCTTTTGATTTTAATACTTTGACTGGTTTAGGAACAAGAACCGGAATTTTTTTTCTTTGACTGCAATCTGGAGCCAAAGATTTAACAACTGGTTTTGTTATAGGTTTAAATACTTTTTTAGAAGTATCTAAATTTGTATTTTTGGCAACAGAATCAAAATCAGTTTGACTACATTGATTAGTATACAACTTTTCAATCGAAATACTTTCTTTAGTAATTTCTTCTTTTTCCAATTGAGTAGAATTAATAGTACTTTTATCACTAGTTATAGATTCAGACAGGAGATCCAATTTTCTCCTGGTTAACCCAGGAGAAATACTGGGGGGCTTTTGGAGCATCTAAAAAAGTTGTCAAGAGTTAATGAATTATAAAATCAAATATTGCACGACTTACTTTTCTAGGGGAAGCACCTCGGATTTCCCAGGCAAGAAAATTTGGCCTTTGAGGTGGATCAGTATGCTCATATTCCCACTTCAGTCGAAACCATTCAACTAGACTATGAAAATCGTGTATATAGTTTTGTAAAACCATAATTGCTTCCTGGAAAACATGAAAATTAATTTATCAGTCACCAAAAATAATTTTAACTATAATGCTTTAACAGATGACAACTGACTTTGCATTCATAAACATTTTCATCAGATTCACATATCTGATATATTTCATCAATGTTACGTCGCAAGTTGTCAAACAAAAATGCCCATGATCGATTACGTAATTCTAGTAACACGAGTAATGTAAATAAGTTATAGATATATTTCGTAGCTATCAATACAGTGTGTAGTTCAAACTTACCAGATCGTTTATCACGGCCAGCTGAAACTGACCGTATGCGCAAACCGATTCTCTGACGGTTTGGCCACATCCTCATCCTATTACCAATATTACTGTGCATGCTGCTGACGTCCATTGTTTATTAACTACAAACTCGGTTCGATCATTTTTTTGTTTTCAATCATTGGAATCTCTGAAGCCTTTTTTGATTCAGCAGACGAAATCAGAACAACGAATAAGTTTGGCGTCTGAAACGTAAAATACCCATTAGATCGGTTTTCGTGAGAAAAAAAAATAACAATTATGGAATTTACACGTCGATTGTGATTCTAAAACAACGAATTCCACGTACGGTCGAATAAAAAATATTGAAAAAAAAACACACAAGTGGATGGTGATTTAAAGCTTATAGCGCCAATGCGTTGTTCTTATTATTTATATTATTATCGTTATGTAATGGTTTTTATCGTCGTATTATCACGTTTAACGGTTCGTGCTGATAAGATTAACGATCTGGCGCGGGTAAAGTGGTTTCCCTTCTTGAGTTATATGTGTGTGCGTAACGCTGAACACGCGCGTACGGAAACAATAGCATTATTATTGTTTTTATTTTAATTTTCGACAATCGATTGGTTTTGGGACGCGGAGTCTCCGCGATAGAGCAGCACTTCAATGCTTTACGGAAAACAAAACATCCGTAGTACAACGCAATAACACACATTAAATAATCTGCGTTCGTTATAATGGATACTAATTTACTGTCTAGAAAACGGTAAAATACCTGTGTTTATTAATTGTAACACCTACCAGTCTACCTCGTTAGCGATAGACGGTATCCAACGCGGGAGTGCGTAAAATTCGAATGGTCGGTTGAAACGATGTTTTTCGAATAAAACCGAATCGAAAAATAACTGGATAAAAACAACGTACCGCGTACAACGCACGGAACAACTCTGCTCGCGCCAACGAAAACACAGTACCTACAATGGGCACCCACAATAAAACCATGCGTTGTGTTTCTCAGGATTTGTGCGTGGGCAATTACTCAAGGACGAGCGAGGAGCATTCTTTCGTCTGCGTCGTATAAATACACGCTGATAATCAGTGGCGCCAAACTCGAACTTTTTTTGTGAAGCGAAATCACAAACATTTTTATCCCACGACCCACCCGCTAACCAATTATTTCAGTCAATGATTACGTACACAACACTTCGTTTAACTTGGTCGATCCATAAACGGTTTAAAGGTCGACCATGGTAAATTAATTATAAATTATTTTATAATTAATTAATAAAGTAATTTAAGACGGTCAAATAAACTACCTACGATAGATCAAAGTTTAAATGGTTTTCTACTTTTATTTAGAATAAATAAATTAATAGTTGAAACAAATTACAGTCTAAGGCATCGATTCCCAAATTGTGCACCGCGGTGCCCAAGGGGCACCACGACCCTTTTCTAAGGGCACTGCGGTCTACGTACGGTTCATAACAAATAGTTTAAAATGTATAAAATTGTTTTTTCTTATGGTTTTCGTAAAAACTTTATAGCAAATAATGTAATATTTTCTATTGTATATTCGGATATACTCATTTTAACCTTATAATAATTTTATATAATAATTATAATCATAATAACAATAATTTTTATTTATTTATTTTTTAAGTTTAAAAATGCATTAATTTATAATTAAGTTAAATTTTAATAAAATTAATAAAATTAGTTATCAATAAGTTGTTTTTTGTTCTGTAATGTAGTTCACAGCAGGGCACCGTGACCAAGGCCGTATCTGGGAGGGTCCAGGGTATCTGGACCCCCCTCCGGAAAATTCTTCAATATTTTATGAACGTTTAAAATATTTATTTATAATACCAACATAAATATTTTCAATTAAAAATGACTTAAAAAAGCTCCAATTAATCATTGACTGCTTTTAATTTGCATTTAATATCATATGAAAATATGATAATAATTTTAATAAAAGAAGATTAAATCTTTTTCTGTCTTATTTTTAACCAAATGTTAAAAGTTAAAATCTAAATTCAATAAAATTACAATATACATATTTTGGACCCCCTCTGAAAAAAAGGCACCGCTGAAAAAAGTTTGGAAACCGCTGGTAATTACTTCCAGAAATATACATATTAATCGTTTAAGACGTTTAGGAGTACAATGAATATAATTATTCATTTAATTTGTCATATAATCAATGATATTTCAAGTTAATCATTAAAAAATTTAAAATATTTAAAATACATAGTATTTGGCATAGTATTATAATACACGATAAAATATATTTCAAACCGTGTATACATGTATAATCAGGGATGGCACGAGGGGGTGGGCAATAGGGGCAGTTGCCCAGGTCCCCGCGCCTTAAATTATAATTAAGGCCCCGCGGTTCTAATTTAACTGAATTAATTTAATTTAAGTAATTAAAATATTTTATTAATATAAATTATAAGACTCAACATTAATTTCGCCCAGGGCCTCGCAAACTCTAGCACAGTCACTGTGTATAATTGCTACTATATCGTAATGGGTATGTAAACTTATTTAACAATTGATATAAAAATATATTCATGTGTCAAAAACATTGATCTCTCGCCCTTCCATTACCTAATCACAATTACGCCATAGCCTAGTTTGAACGAACAGCAATAATATAGTTCTGTCGTAACTTCATAATTGATCAATTGCAATATCAATAACATAATAATCGCCAACTATCTACTAATATATATGACGAGTTTTGTGACTGTATGTATATTGCAGGTATGTAGTATGATATTATAAATGCTTTCAATGGAAATTTTGATAAAATACAGCTGGGATTTTGATATAATCGAATAAATGGAAATATTATATGCATTCAGATAGCCAATAGAAAAACAGAATTTAATTTGTGAAACATAATTTTTGCTACTCTAATTTTGACGTTTTATAATTATTTACATAGGCAGCAACGTAATAAAACGACACGAGCTCGTAATTAAACGGCCAAAAATTTAATAGCTTAGAAGGTTATATACAATGTTTTCGTAAATTGTTTTGAATTATAGAAGTCGTTTTTGTTATAAAGTTTAGGTACATAAAAATATATTTAACACATCGATAAGCATCTATGAAGTTTAATTGTGTTACATACCATTATAAACCGATTTTTTTTTATTATATAACTAAAAATAATAATAAAAATAATCTATCTGTGTAATTATATTCCACACATAATATGATCTACCAATCTATTCCATTGGTTCCTAAACTGGGGAGCGTGTACACATTGATGGGGAGGCGTAAGCAGTTATTACGAAATACAATTCTTATTGATTAATTCCAAATATTGCATAGTTTATTTGTAAAGTACACAAAAAATGGTGATCAATTATTTTCAATTTATAGGAGAGGGGGAGTGAGAGTTTTGTAAATCTACAAAGGGGACGTAGAAAAGAAGATATTGGGAACCACTGATCTATTCAATATATGTTATATAGATTCTATAGTACATGATGATTTTTTTTGTTTTAAGCTAGCTATATTAGACCTATATTATTCTCTTATACATAAAATGAAATATTATGCTAGGGGTATCATGGTAAGATTTTTCAGGAACAAAAACACGTAAAAAGAAAAATGTCGATGTTTTAAAAAACGACCATGCAGTTTTAATAGTGATTAAAAATATTAAAACGGATGTTTCTATACTTGCCAAAACTATTCCTGGCCAAGTAGATATATTTTCGAAACAAAATAAGTGTAGATATTTAAAGTAAATTTACTTATTAGCATTTGTCTATATCACACCGTAACTAGGAACGCTTGGAGGTCTAATAAATAACTGCATTATTTTTTATATTACTTATCAATTATTTACGCGGAGCTAGACAAAGTGTTTTTGTTATGATACCTACCTAATATAATTTTGAATTGTTATGTCATTGTTGGTATAGGTATGACAATATTCGCGAATGGTAAAAATGTTACAGGATCGACGATTTAAAAACGTAAATTATGCGTATAAATATTTAAACAATAGGCACGCTGTAACTTTTACGATATTAAAAGGTATATCAATACAACATAAATGCACGTAGGTACTCACCGCGGTTATTGTTGTTTTTAATGAAATACGCTCAATAAGGTCACGGATCTGCGTGTAGGTGCCTAAATCATTATTTGCACACATCTACGCCGGTGACGAATCAAACAAACCATAAACAATAACGCGAAAACAAAATTAATGCCGCCCAGCCAGGTCATACGCCTTTCCAGCCAGCGTCTGAAATATCGTATTTGTTCTGTTTACAAATCGAAACCAACACTCTTACCGCGCGACGGTCAAAGATAAAATGTCGTCGTCGCGAGCTGGTTTCATGCAGTACTTAACACTCAACGGTTTCTATTAATACAATACACCATCTGATAATGAACGTAATAGGTGTACGTATAGTTTATACCCAGGTAAAGGAGTGGTTCGGTTGTTTTCGTGACAGGTTTACTTTTTCGTATATGTCCGGTATGCCTACATGTTATGGATATACAAATAATATTTACATAATAACAACACGTGTATATAAAATTAATGATATGATGGCGAATCGGATATTATGTATCAGTGATGTCCAACCTTTTTTCCTCGGTCGGTGAAGTATTGCTCATTCGATGGTAAACAATTATCTTCGAGCCGGCCATAAAATATTTTTATCTACCTATACGAATAACGTCAATAGCAAAAATTAATATTATTTTGTTACACATAGTAGGTATACAATAAATAAATAGGTGCATATTGGACATGTTTTCATATATTTTCTTCTTCTTCTCCTTCGCCTTTCTTTCGACTATTTCGGGTCGGCCACCCTTGTCCTTAACCTCCGCTCGTCTCGACTTTCAACATCCCCTACGCACACACCAACAGCCCTCATCATTCTCAATCGTATCCAACCATCTTTTTTGGTTTTCCTTTTCCTCTTTTCCCTTAAACGATCACCATAACCATTCTTACTGCTTTTATTTCTTCTCACCTTATATACCCAAACCATCTCCAGTCTATTTTCTTTCATCTTGTCCACTATCGACGCTACACCAATACTACCTCTTAAATATTAATTCCTTATTCTATCTTCTCTTGTCACCAGTGGCGTAACTTCAAAATTTGGACTCGGGAGCGAATTTTCCAGCACCCTCCAGGAGGAGGGGGCATTTACCTTGCCAAAATTATTTAAAAATTGTTTTTAAATATTATTGCATATATTATTAAATAATAAATATACATCTTTTTATTTTAGAATAATTTAATTAATAATAAATATTTATTATTAATTTAATACTTAATATTATCGATGTACAACAAAATCAGTAAATAGTTACCGTTCTAATGAATAACAATTAAGACTATAAACTTAAAACATTTTTCTGGGCTTCTTATTTGCTAAAGTAGAAATTATATCTGATGTGTTAATTTCTTTGGCAATTTTCTTTTCTATTGATAGTATAGCTAAACTTAACAAACGAATTTGGGACATCGTACTTCAAAGATAGTTTTGAATTATTTTAAGTTTTGAAAAACTTCTTTCTGTATTTTCCGCCTTCACTGGTATTGTCAAAAAAAGAAAATAAGATGAAAATAAATCTGGAAAATTTGCCGCTATTAAATAATTGTCTACAATTATAAATTTTACCTAGTCCTGTACAGAATTTAATTTTGAAATTTGATTTTCAAACGATCATTTTAGTTAATAATTTGGTTGATTAAATCTATTGTTAATCATTTTTATAATTTTTTACTAAAAAGGTAGTTAATTTTCATTTATTGAACATATATTAATAGGTATTATTGAAGCAAAAAGTTTTATTATTTGGTTCATACCATTAAAACGGTGTTTGAGTTGTTCAATAATTATATCCAAAGTATGATAATAAATTTGTGTTTTAAAGTATTGTTCAGCATCAAGGAGACGTTCGTCTCTACTTAATTCATGTAAATATTTAGTAGTTTTTTTTTTCTTATGTTATTGAATGTTGGCTGAACAGAAGTTGCTATTTGTTTAGCTTCCTCAAACACTTCTTCAAAATTATCACGAATTTCTTTTATTTTACTTAAAGCCGTTAGAAGCAGCTCAAAAACTTTAAGTAAGTCTATATCCGATTTTTGTAACAATATTGATACAATTTGTAATGAGTTAAGAGTTTTGGTTTCGATGACATTAAAATCACATCAAATTTTTGAAAATAGTTTTGAAGATCTGACACTTTATCTTTTTCATCTTTATTTTGGTCCATAAGTGAAATATATGTTAAAAATTTTAAAATATCTGCGTAAAGTAAATTAAGTGGTTTTAAGCAATCATTTCATGAAGACTATCGAGTAGTACATAGTGTTTTGAGTGAAACAGCCACAGATTTCACGAATTTTAAGCGTACCCACCTTTTATTCGTCGGTCGGCTGATAGTCGGTCTATTAATAAAGATATGCTAGTAATAAAAGCAGACATTTAAAAGAAATGATTAAATTGTAAACTGTAAAACTGATATTGTATTCTCTGTAGTACTCTAGAACATTACGTTAGTATAATAATATTAACACTCATGCGGACTACTCCATAGTGTAGTAGGTAATTTATAATAATTTTGAATTATTAAAAAAAAATATATATATTTAGTTTAATAATATATCATGATAAAAAAAAATAGTTGTTATTAATTATTAATAAAAAAAATATTATATAATCTCAGGCCCGGGTGCGGCGGTACCCTTTGATCCCTCTTAGTTACACCCCTCCTTGTCGTTCTACTCGTCCATCGAAGCATTCTCGTTTTCGCAACACTCATACTCTGTTCTCTGTTTACATACATTTTATTGACCATAGGTTGTAAACTGGGGGGGAGGCAAGGAGTAGAACAAATTAGGAGGGGCAGTGCCCCCTCTGATATTTAACATAACTTGTTTTAAAATAAGTACAAAACAGCTGGTTATAGTTATTACTATAACATTTTTTTTTTATATCTTAATTTTAAATTTTCGCTTATCTAACATAATGTTAGAAAATGAATAATTTTATATAATAATATGTAGGTAGTAAAGCAGCATTTAGCCTCGGACACCCTTTTCGTTTGATATGTAATTATATTTTTGCCCCCCCCCTTCCAATAAATTTCCAAGTTACGCCTATGTTATTGACAGTTGAAAATATTACAGATTTGGGTACACGTTAATTTGATCGGCACGTTATTTTATGTGCACGGGTCACATCGATATTAAATATTAACATTTGTAATTGTAAATGTCCGAAAATAAATTTAATAAATTAATAAAAAATCGTATTTTATAATAATTTACTTATTTTTTAATATTTGTCTTGTTTTAAAAATATGTAACGGTCCGCGGATTGGGCACCACTGTTATATACTACATCGCGCATACACGCATACAACAGGTGCATGTACCTACTAGGTATACACCCACGATATCTTTGCAACGCTAAGAAATACGAAACGGTTGAAGTACACGTCATAATAATATATTATTATTAGGGCTCGAATTTATATGCATTTCCATGTTTTTTTTAACAGTACAGTATGTGACTAATTAAGCTACAAATTTGAATTACAGTTAATAGATCCGAAATACAAAGTTTTATAATCCTTATTTCGTCATTTCCTGATGTGCACTTATTGCATATTATTGTATATTACTATTATTCGTTGGTTTTACTCGCATATACTATGATTCGCAAGGAATTCGTTTTCTTATATTATGTAATCGATTCTAGATAAAGATAATTCGGTCAGGACTATAGATGATGCAGTCTGTATCTTAAGTGGGTTTTCGTGAACCATATTTAAGTCATGTAGTATTTTTTGAGCATGCACTATTTTTTTCGTTGATGTGGAACAACGCTTTTCGAAATTATTTGCAAATTACCGCCATTATTTATGTTTGAGAACATAAGAAAATATCTAATAGTTCAGTAAAATTTCCAAGGTAAAAAATTAGTGAAAAATTAATTGTAAATTTATTATCCTGTTTTGTATTTCAAGCCCACAATTAAGCATTGAGTTTGATTTCTAACCAGTGGCGCACAGAAGTATTTTAAGACCACATGCAACTAAAAAAGTTACCCACCCACCCACCAATTTATTTTTTTTAAAAAAAAAAAGTTCCTTTAAATTGTTGTCTGTAACTGTAATTAACTCTTAAAATAACTATAAATTTAAAAAATTAAGATTTATTATAATTAATTAAAATTAAGATATCTACATCCAGTGCCATATAGGTATAATGTTTGGTATCCAAGTTATCCAATTACATACTCACAAACCTATCCATACACCCACCACCAACGAGAGCACATGCAATTGCACCCCTTGGTAACCTGTCTGGACGCCACTGTCTCTAACTCTGAAATCAATCAAAAATAATTTTGTACGTAAATACCATTAACAATAATAAAAATAATAACATTAAATAAAATGTAGGTATGTCAATTTTTCAGTAAAATAAAAAAAATTCTAAAGCATATTTTTTTTTTTTTTTTTAAAAGTCATATTTGCATGTTTTTCAGAGGTTGAAGTCTCTAAGCCTATTAATACAGACGTACATTGACTTCAATGGCGTAACAAGGATTGTTTTTTTTTTTTTTTTTTTTGGGGGGGAATTGTGAATTTGAAAAAATAAGCATTTTCTGCAGGTGTTTGGTGGGGATAAGGAAGTAAGATTAAGTTAGGTTTATGAGTAAAATATTTAAATTACAAGTTAAACTGTTTAACTTCAACTTCATATTGTGATACAATAAAAAGTATTATAAAATCGACTATCGAGAAATCGTAGTAGCAAGGTTATTGATGTTTTAAAGTTGAATGGAACGTTAAAAAACTTTCCATATTGTCATGTTATTATTTCTATCAATTATAATACGAATAATACCCATATTTCATATCAATCAGCCATTTCGTGTGTTCAAGATAAACCATTTTTTTTCATACGTAGAATTTGTAAAAACTTCAGAAAAATTTCAGGGGGCTACAACCATTTATTGACTTGTCCAATAATGAAAACTAATTACATTTTACATTTCTATGGAAATTAAAAACTACAGTGATATTAACAATTTCTCTCAATTACATCTAGTTTAGGAATTTCAGCAACCTTTAGTCGTAAATTAATTTGATAGGTTACGTTTGTAAATCATATCATGATCAAGGATCGGAACTTTATGCATTAAACAGTACTCAAATATTCACGTATATACATATGCCTTAAAATAATATGCAGTAAAAATTTGAAAAATAAACAATTTATTGAATAAAATACAAATAACATAAATTAGGTACACAGGGAAAAAAAAATAAAAACACTGCACATTTGTCTACCTATACAAGCTTCATCAAAATTTAATCTCGAGTTCCTATTAAAAAGTAGAATTAATTAATATTCAAACAATTAGATAGGTTATTTTATATTACTGCAGATAATATTGAGTAAAATACTGATAACCACTTTATATCATGGTACCTATATTAATTGATAAATTTGGGATGGTCGATGATCACTATTACAATATAGAAAGGGTTTTTGTTAAATCTATGATATATGCATATAAAAGTTCTTAAACCTAAAGTGTGCAAATTAATACAAAAAGTAACAAAATATGCAAAATCATGCAACAAGCATTTTTGTATTTGAAAATTACGTACTATGGATCAAATTTGTGTTAAACCAGAATATCAATATGTACTTTTTAAACAAATATGCAAACAGTTAAAGTTCCAAGTCTTGGTTATGCCTCAAGAATAATTAAACGATTGTGTAAATATAATTGATATATTGATCTGTTTTAATCACTTGTGTAACACAAAAATGTATAACCATCATGAAATTATAATTTTTTTTAAAAATTTTTATATTTAATATTATTATTAAAAGTAATGACTATTTCTGCCTCAAAAACTATTATTTTTATACAATTATCTGGTTAGGATAGGAGAAATAAGGCAGATTTTCTCTTTAAACAGAATTTAATTGTGCATTTAAATGGTTTTCTTATTCTACTTAGCTATGGCATTCCAGTTATTAGGAATAATGTATGCTAAATTGATACTACATATAAAACAGAATATAGGTCCCAGAAAAGTAATAATTAAGTATTATTATAGATTACAAATATTTGAAACATTTTTTTTTTAATCATCTAACTTAATAATTATTATTAATTAAAATGTATAAAAGAAATTTATAAACAAAATAAATAGCAAAAATGTACAATAACCTAATGTAAAATTATAAGAAAATATTACAAAAATATATATATTAAAAAAGTAAAAATAATTGTGCAAGAGTTGGCTAGTTTTAAATTATATCATTTAAACATAATAATTAAATGTGTAAAGTTAATTTTTTTTGCTCATGAATAGGCTGAATAATTTGTTTGGTGTGCTGCTGGCTCGTCTTTTGTTGGTATTAGAATCTTTTGATTCTTTTAATGTGATTTTAGCATTGCCCTGGAATCATATTGACATATTGAAAACTTAAAAATCAATAATAAGTAATATATACAAATTTAAATAAAATATTGTATCGTCATTATCTGAAAGTATACCACTAACAATAATTAATTCTTAAATTATGGAGTATATTATTAGTCTAGTTTTTTTTATATAAATACTGTATTACAACATGCTTATAAGATATAAATAATTAGTATGTAGTTAAAAATATTTTAACTTTGAAGCCAAGTTATTAATTAAAATTAATACGAATACTTATTTTGAACTTAAAAATTAAACAACACATTTTTGATAAACTATCTAATTTTAAATTTTGTTCACGAAAAATTAAAACATTTTTATAACTATTATTTAGTAAAAATATAAATGTTATATTCTATCTTACATGTATTTTTTTTGATAAACAACTGCACACAAGCTCTTTGAATTAAGGAAATTTTATTACACGTTAGTAAGAAACAATAATTTTTAAACAAAATTTAATGTTTAAATAACAATTTCAAATATAATACAAAAATAAATTTACCGATAAAGAAACACGACCACCATTTTTGCTAGGGGTTGGGGGGCCTGGTTTTTTGTATGATGTCTAAAAATAAATTAAATTATTATTTAAATGAGGAAACAAATGATAAAAGCAATAATAAATATACCTGATTACGATCTTTTTTTTTGTTCCGATCATTTGGAATAAGGTTTTCACTCTCACAATCACTATAGTTAGCTAAGGTCTGAAAAAGATTAAATATAATTTATTTGATTACTTTTATAAATTAAATAGAAAAAATAACCTTAATATCTTCTTCTGTAATTAATGATGCATTTGGCAAATAATTAGTTTCAACGGCATAACAACTTCTTAAATGTGGTGGACAAAGCGAGTTGCGGGCTTGTAATTCTGATAAACGTTCATTGCACTGCTTATCAAAATTATCATTCAGTCTTACTTTGCCATGTTTCAAATCAGCAAGGCATGAGTGGTTAAACATTTCACCCTCCTCATCTTCTTCTTTTGGGAATATTTTACCTAAAGTTACATAAAATTAAAAAAAAACTTGTATTCAATGAATGACATACGTGTATTAATATATTTACATACATTGTTAAGTAGTATTTTAAATATTATATTTTTAGTAACCGAGTTAGACTGTTTGGTTAAATAGTAATGGTAATTTGCAACAAAATAAACCATTTTTATACAGTTAAACCAATATGAATTCAAAATAAAGCAAAGCTGAGCAAGATTTATGTATATTAAAATAGCATTATTTCTATTAATATTTAATGTTAAACATTTCATCTTTCTAGAAATTAAATGTATGTATTAATGATCAGTTTTATATATATTATCCATTAAATTAAAGATTTATTACATTAATCAATATTAGTAGCTAATTTAAGATGCGAGGAACCAATAATTGTTCAATATTTGTGGTTTTCTATGAGATTAACTGAAAAACAAGTATATAATTATAAAAAAATTCTTAGGATGACAATTTTGGTATCTATTTTTAAGTAAACCAAATATAAAAGAATATAGCATTAAATAAGCTTAAATCCAAGAATTAATCATATTACGTTAATTTTAACATAATTTATGAAATATATTGATCATACTGCCAGAAAAAAAAAATTCAAGATAATTAGTGATTAATTATTTTTCCACCAAGTTAAATATATGTCATTACAAATCTCTCACCATGACAGCATTTATTTATATTAATAAGATTTTAAGTATATCCATTTTTTTTTTTTTTTTTATACAAATCGTATATATCAAAGGTAATAATAGTATTAATAAGAACTGAGGTTAGTTATTTGTTAGTAACGCACCAGACGATAAGGTGAATTTTTTACCAATTCCAGCAGGTACATTTCTTTTAGCATTATCTTGATTGGAACGAGTAGTTTCTTCAACAAGTGATCTAAAATAATAAAATAAATTACAATATTTTGGAAAGATATAATTAAATATTTAAAATAACATTAAAATTTTTAACCTTATTTGACTGGTTGAATTAGACTTTGGCAATGTAAAAGAATTATACTTTGGAACTGCATATGTCTGAAAAATAAGTAATTATCTATTCTCAGATTATATTTTTAAATATTAGTTCAGTAGAAAATAATATTTATTATTATTTAGAATATTATTTATTACTAATACAACCTACATATTGCTAACAGTATGTTTAAAATTTTAATAATCTATATTTCTCAAGATCAATTTAACATTAAATTGAAAAATAAAATAAAGATAAATAATTTTAATTTGGTAAACTAAATGATTAACATAATATAATTTTAAATTTATTTACTAATATTCCCCTCCCTCATAATTATTTTAGAAGATAAAATTATTAATTTGGCTTTTATATGAGTTCTTCACAGTGAGTCCCAATTAATAATTGTTGATATTAATGAAAAATTATAATTTCATATTTATAACTTAGTATTCACATATATATATTATATTCATTAAAACACTTACAGCTTGAGAAATTCCTGAAATTTCAAATGGCAAGGACATAGTGGAATCTCTTCTTTCTTTTTGTTGCAATCTTAAATATTTTTCACTAACTTCCCATAATTGCTGACCAAGTTCTTTAATATGAATTTCATCTTTGTTTATCTGAATAAAAATAAATATTAAATTAACAAAAATAAATAATAAAACATAATTTGAAGATCATACCTTTTCCTTGTATTTCATTAGTTTAGTTTCATAATCTTGGTGTATTTTTGTTTCTAAATCTTTGCAAAATTGTTTCTGGAAACACATAACAAGTAATTTATAAAATTATTAGTAGTTATTTTAGTGAATTTTTATTTTTACCATCTGCTCTCGTTTACGTTCAAATTTCTTTTCATATTCACTCGTAATATACTCTTGAGTTTTTTGTTGAATTTTTGTCATTTTGTAATTGCACTCAGATTTCAATTCAGACATATCAGTTTCCAATTGTTTTATGGTTTCAAGTTGTCTGAAATTAGACATTTTTATTTTGATTAATTTATTTATGGAATAATATATTAAATTCAGTTAAAAATATACCTATTTGATTTGATAAGTAATTCAGCATATGCTTCATTAGATGCATACTCATTATGTGCCAAGATCTGCTTATTTCCTTGAGCATTAATGTTAACTATAAACATTTTTAGTGCTTCAAAAAGTTTTTTAAGTCTTTCAATAATTGAGTAATCATCACAATTTCCAACTGGTATTAATTGAATTCCATTTTGTTCTATGAATGTATCAGCAGAAGTAATTACTTCCATCAATGAATCTTGATGGTCTAGTGTAGGTTCATTTTTAATAACATTATGTGAATAATTCGAACAAGTTTCTAAATGTGTTTCAAAATCTCTTTTTTCCTTTTTGAGTATTGACTCAAGTTCTTTTTTTATATTTTTTAAATCATTTATTTTCTGATAAATATCTACTAATGAGGTATTTTTTAGTTCAATTTGTTTTTCAATTTCAGATTGCTTATCATCAAGTTGTTTTTGAGCTTCACATAACTTTTTATCCATATTAATAATTTTCTCAGTTGATTCTTCACGTAAATTATCAAATTGACATTTAAGATCATTTAGTTCAGTCATCAATAAGATATTTTTGCATTTGGTTTCTTCATATAGTTTATTAAAATCTTCTAATTTATTTTGATTTGTTACTAAAGCACTTTCATTTTCAACTAAACACTTTTGAAGTTTAATAGTTTCATCTATCAAGTTGTTTTTTTCACACAAATCTACATGTTCAGAATTTAACTCTTTTTGATAATTAGACAATTTTTTTTCCATTTCTTCAAGTTGTTTTCTTAAACCATTACAAGTAATTTCTAACTGTTTATTAGTATGCTTTAAATCAATTTCTAAAGTAATTTTTTCATTTTTAATACTTTCATTTTGTTTTTCATAATCGAGAACTTTTTCTTGCATAGTTGTAATATTACTATCTTTAATCAGTATAGTATTTTTAAGTGAATTTGTTTCATTAATTAAGTTGTCTCTTTCTGATGTTAAAAGAGTAATTGTTTCTATTTGACAGTTACATTTATTTACATATTTATCAATTTCAATCTGTTTTTTCTTTAATAATTCTTGCATTTCAATATATTTGCTGCCTATATCTTCAAGTTGCTGCTTTGATTCCTGTTGTATATTTTCTAACTCATTTCCTTTCTCATTGAGTTTCGATTCCAAATTCATCTTCTGAGTTTTGAATTCTTCTTTTTGTTTTTCATGATTATTTATTTTCTCTTGTAATAATTTAAGAGCACATTCTTTTTCATCCAAACATTCCTCAAGTTTATTTTTTTCTTCTAATAATGTGTCTTTTTTTTCATTTAAAAAAGATATTGTTTTTGTTTGTTCATTCAACTGTTTTGATTGATTTTCTAACTCATTTTGTTCATGAATTAGTCTTTCTTGAATTTGCAACAAATCATTTTCCATTACTCTCAATCGATTAGTCAGATTTTGGTTTATATCGGTTAAATGTGCAACAGTTTTATGCGATTGCAATTCAAATGATGCTTTTTCGTCTTTCATTTCTTCTATTTGGTTTCCTAAATGTTTAATTGTATTAGTACAAGCATATAATTTTTCTTCACACAAATTCAATTTGTGTTCTTTGTGTGATAAAGTATCTCCAAGGTTTTTTATTTTATCACAAAGAGATTCTTTTTCACAATTAATTTTAACAATAGTTTCCCTTTGTTCATTGCACCACTGAATTTGTTTTTCTAATTCAATATGTTTATCATTTAACATTTGTTTTACTTCAATGATTTGTTTTTCTAGACTTTCATTAGCAACAGAGTACTCAGTATTTTGATCTTTAAGTAATTTTACATTTTCTTCTTTTTCCAATATACAATTGTTAGACTCCTTCAATTTATGTTGTAAATTAATACATTGATTTTCAGTATCAATAAAAGTTTTGTTCAATTTATTATTTTCTTCAGTGATGAGTTCTAATTGTATTTGTTTATTATTCATATCATTTTTCATCATGGTCAAAGATTTTTTAAGATCATTGATTTCATGTATACTATCTTTTAAAAAATTCTTCACCTCATTCAATTGTTCATCATACTCTTTATTAATAGCTTCTTTTTTCATAATTGTATCTTGTAATATATTTTCAAGTGAGATTTTTTCTATTGTTACACTGTCAAATTCTTGTTTTAGTTTTAAAATGGAAGATTTATGTTCATCTAATTCATCTTTAAGTTTTTCAATTTCTAACTGTGTGGTAATAACATTTTTATCAGAATTAGCGACTTGATTTTCTAAAATTTCTTTTTCTGTTTTTATATCTTTAATAATATTACACTGTTCAATAGTTAACTTAAGTTGTTCGTCAAGTTCTTTTTGTTTGTTTTCCAACAAATTTGTAACCTTCAAGGACTGATTTTTCAACTGAATAATTTCTTCTTTATTGTTACTTAATTTGCCCAACATATCATTGATCTGTTCAGTAAAATTTTGTTGTGCCTTTTTAAATTGTTCAGAAGTTTCATTCAAATTTGTTTCAATCATGATTTTTTCTATACTCATAACACCAAGTTTTTCTTTTAAATCTTGTATAATTGTACTATAATCTTTAAGTTCTTTTCTTAAGTTTATTACTTCTGCATCTTTATTTAATAAAGTTTGGTCAAGATCTTTACATTTTTCTAACAAGTCCAGTTTCTCATTTTCCAAATTTAGGATACAATAATTTTGTTTATTATTCAAATCTATTTGGGTTTTCAATTCACTTTCTTGAACTAATATATAGTTTTTAATTTGTAATAACTTGTTTGTCTGAGAATCAATTTTCTGATTATATGATTTTAAGTTAATTTCTGCATTAAAAAGTTGTTTATCAAAATTATCCTGCATATTTTTCACATTTGTGGTAATATTTTCTATGACCTTAGCAAGTGAATGATTTTCTGATATTTTAAAATTAATTGTCTCAGTTAAGTAATCAATTTTTAATTTACTTTGAATATATTTTTCTTCCAATGATTTTATATCATTTTCCTTGACAAATAAATCTTGTCTAGTAGATTTAAATTTCTCTTCAAGCTCATACTTTTCCAAACGTAAATGCGAGATTGTTTCGATTTGTTTATTACTTATAATTAATTGTTCATTAAAATCATTTTGTTTTTTCTCTAAAGTTTCTTTGAGTTTTTCAAGATCAACGGCAAATTGATTAATTTCAAAATTACGACTTTCCAACACATTTTTTAAATCAAAAATTTGACTTTGAAATTCTTCATTTAATGTCTTCATCTGAACTTTATTCTGTTTTTCATTTTTTTCTAACAAATTTTTTTCATTTATAGCAGTATTTAATTGTTCCTTTAAAGTGTTAACACTTAATGTATAATCTAAAATATTTTTCTTTAAATCTGCATTTTCATTTGATTTTTGTAACAATGCATCATTTAGATCGCCTATACTAATTTCTTGGAGACGTTTTTCAGATTGTAATGTCTCAATTATATTTTTTTGGTAATTGATCAGATCAACTTGCCTGTCTATTTCATTTTGTTTGCAATGTAAAATTTCTTCTATTTTTGTTTTAGTATTCTTTAAATCTTTTATTTCATCTAGATAGTATTCTAAGTAATTTTCCATTTCACGAATTTTGTCATTTAACACTTTTTGTTGAGTTTCATTTTCTGTTTTGCTATCTTTCAAATTAGATTGTAAAATTAATTTTTCTTGATACATTTTTTTTAATTCGGTTTCTAGAATATCAATGCTTTGATAATTTTCAGCCATCTTTTCTTCATAAAAAATAATATTGCCTTCTTTGTTAGCCAAATCATCTTGCATTCTTTTAATATTATTTTGTAAATCATCAATATTTTTATTAAATAACTCTTCTGACTTTTTATAATCTTCAATTTTGGTTTGTAATTTTTTAACATTTTTATCATTTTCTTCATGTAATGCTTCAATTTCTGTGTTAGTTTTGTTCAGAATTAGTTCTATCATAGTTTTTGCCTTTTTAACAACATCCATTTCAATTGACAATTCTTTAATTTCCTTCTCTCTTTTCTCTAATTTAGTACACATTAATTCAATACTATTTTCCTTATCTTTAATAGAATCTTTCATATACTTTATTTTAGATTCTAAACTTTGATTTTTTTTTTGATTTTCTTGAAGTTCTTTTTTTTTGTTCATAAATTTATTATAAAGTTCTTCTTTATTAGTTTCACTATTATGTAAATGATGTTTCAAAGTTTCAATTTGTTTATCTAAGTCTTTAACACGATTTTCAATCTGAAAAAAAAAATCAATTTAATTATATTCTATTAAATCAGAAGAAACAGGATATGTAATTATCCAATTATACTATTTTATAAAAAAAATATTCATATTATAAAATCAAAATATTTAAATAAAAATAAAATTTTTTTTAATTTTTTTATAATTGAGAATAATTATTTAATAAAATATAATTTAATTGCAATTAGTTGAAGTGATATGTAACTAACTTACATATATTTTGAAAAACTTAGCTCTACATTTTAACATGTTAACGTTCAGTTATTGCCATAAGAGAAATTTAATAAAATTCTTTTTATAATTTATTTTATTTTAAAATTTATTTTCAGTAGTTATTTGATTATTTGAAATTCAGGGAATCAAATTGAAAATTTGATTAAAAAATAGTTAAAATTAAAGAGAAATGGAAAATGTTATTATATTTATTGTGTTGCATTTATTATACATTTATTTTGACATTCATTTATATACAGTAAAACTTGCTTAAGACGCTTTTTAAGAGACCTCCTCACTAGAGCGTCTTATGCAGGAACTGAAAAAAAAATAATAATAAAGCAACTGAAACATTGAGTTAATTTTTTAAATATTAAACATAATTTAACTAGTACAACTTTTATAAACTATAGTTGCATATATTTTTTGTTATTGAATTTAATTAAAAAAGAAATACATACATTCATCAGTATACATATGTATTATTATTATTATTTTTTTTTCTATTTTATCACATATTAAAATAAAATAATTTATTTTGTCGACATAACTCAACATTTCTTTGGCATTTTCTAAAGAGGACATAACTTTTCGAATTTCAGATAGGTATTGAAAATCAACAGTAATTGTAGGAGTTGATACAGGATTGACTGTATATTTTTCTTGAAAGAAATTTGTTATTTTTTTTTTTTTACCAGCTTCAACAGTCATAATTAGGTTTTTTTTATCGGAGGGTGACAAACACTTGTACTTTATGTGTTCCATATTCATACTAACTAAGTTTCACTCAATTTCAACAATTATTTGCATATTTCAAAGGTTTATTTTGGTAAAATAATACAAATAATGTCAAAAATATTTTTAAATTAAGATAAACTACAATAATATTTTATTACTGTTGTGATTAGTTCGATTACAAGTACATAATTTACATGTCATATATATATATATATATATATATATATATATATATATATATATATAATAGTTATATAATCTCTGTAACAAGATGTGTTTGATCTCATACACAATATGCATTCGAATCATAGAGGTTCTGGTAAAAAAAAAAAAAAAAAAAAAATTGAATTGTATGGTTTCCCGTCATCAGACATTTTGAATTATTAAGTAACTACTGTAATTGGTCACTAATGCTGAAGCAATTATTAAAAAACATGAAACCAGACATTACTGCTAATACAGTATTACATTTGATGTCATTAAACAAGACTAGATATAAGACAGACCCAATATATATACATAGATACTAATATCAAGCAAAAATATTATTTCAAAGATTATATGTATTTGTTATACTTACATTAATTAAATCTTTTTTAACAGATTTGTATTTATGTCTATATTTTTCTTTGTCACGTGTAACTTCTTCTAATTTAAGACAACTCAATTCATCAAATAATGTATTTGAAGGCATAATATTATTAGTTTCTTGGTTGCTTGATTTTGCAGGACTAATTGAAATTGATTTATTGCAGAGTTCATCTTTTAAGGACTAAAATCAAAATATTTTACAAATTAAAATCCAAATAAATGTCACATCATGTATTTAAGTATTTAAAAAATAAATTTTTTTTATAAGTATCTAAACTACAAAGTTTTTTTTTTTAAAACTAACTGTTATTTCCATCTCTTTTATTCGTAGTTTTTCATTTATCAAATCAATATTTTTTTTTAATGATGTATTTTCAGTTTCAATGTTATCAAAGGTACTTAGAAGATTTTCATAATCTGAATTTTTTTTTTCTAACTGAAATTAGAATTAAAAATAAACAAGTTTAATTAACAAAATCTTGGTTTTATTAATAGTTTAACTTATATAAAATTAATAAACATACATAATACTACTATTTTTTATTATATAAAATAATAAGAAACTTATAATTACTTTTCCTTGAATATCTTTATGTTTATTTTCAAATTCTGTTATTTGTTGTCGTAACTCATTGTTATTAATCTCCAAATCAATTATATCTTGCTTTAATTTTTTTAAAATCAAAGCATTATCAGTTTTTAAATTATCAAGAGATTCTTTAGGTTTGGAAAATTCTTCAATTTCATCTTTCAAAAATTGTATTATTTTTTCCTTATCTTCTAATTTGCAACCTAAATTAAATATTACATGAAAGAAAAAACAAATTAAATTTTTTTATTTTTATAAAAAAAACTTTTAATACAATTGTATATTCTAATAATTCATAGAATGTATTAAATAATTACTTAGATTTGTATTAATATCTTGTAAGGTTTTAATATTTTCAGCCAATTTGTAATTTTCTTCGCATTCATTCTTATAATCCTCGCTAAGCTTAGCAATGATCTTTTCTTTTTCTTGACATATTAAGGATTTAGATTTTGGTGACTGTAAATAATAATATAATCAATTAGTGCAAAATTGTAAATTATTTTACAGTACTTTTAATATTGTATTAGTATTATTTAGGTATTATATAATCCATCTATTACCTCACAAAATTCTTGTAAATGACTTCGAGATCTTGATTTTATAGGTGTAATGTTATTTGAAAATATTTCTGAAGATTTAAAATATAATTATGATAATGACACTTAAAAAATATAAAAGTACAAAATATAATTTTACCTGATGAAATATTAGAACTGGAAATATTTATATCATTTGTCAATAATAATGCATCTAAAATATTTTGTTTTGTAAATAATGAGAATTGTGTAGCTTCTAAGAATTTTGCAAGTAATATTTGCTCATCACTATCCATTCTTTCACTCAGTTGATCTCTGAATTTATTATTTGTACATTTTAATAATGCATGTAATAGAACTACTATACAAGTATAAAATGAGTTTTCTTCATTGAATAAATCTTCATATGTTTGTATTTCAAATTCGTGATAGTTCACTATTTATAAAAATAAGCATATCAAGTTATAAAATAAAATATATGTACATGTATAATAGGGATATAACCCATACTAATATAATAATAACTTGATAATACCTTTTATAGTGTTATAAATCTTTTCTTTTTCTGTGATTAGTGGTATGGAACATTTTAAACAAAACCTTAAAAATATAAATTAAATCAATTTATAAACTAATACATACCTATACTTTATATTTAATAATTATCATATTATTATAGATACAAGATTCAAAAATACATATGTTTTATCTATATAAATTAGGTTGTTGGTAAATACATCATTTTTTTTTTAATATATCTGTTAAATACTTAAAATCTCTAATTTATTAATATAAAAAACTACTAACACATTATCAACAAATTCTTTGAAGGAAGTACTGGACACAAGATTTTGGATGTTTAAATATTCAGTATCCTTAAAGTCGTCAAATAAACAAACCTGTAATAAATAATACATTTTTAACAATTATGGTTTACATGTATTGTATATTATACACCTGCAGTTTCCAAACTTTTTGGTCATGTATCTTTATGAAAAAAAATAAAAAAATCGTGCTTCCCAATAAAATAATATTTTTTATTATTTAAATATAAAATTAATAATATTATTCTCAATCTAAAAATGAATATATTGTGTAGTAATATATTTGTCTTATGCCTCTCTCATTAAGTGCTTGCGTCTCCCAAAGGAGGCGTGCCTCACTGTTTGGAAACAGATCTTATATAGAAACTACAAGTATACAATTACATAATTAATAAATAAGAAAAAAATTAACCAGTAACTGAAAAATAATAGTTCAAAATATTTTTAATACACTAAGGTTTAAAGAAATAGGAAATCCAACTACAGAAAAAATTATTCAAATTAAAGTGCAATTATATTTTTATAAATTTTGTTGGTTAATTAACTCATATAAATAAACATGTTAAGAGGTCTGGAATTATTATATTAATATGGTAGGTAGTTACCATTTTAAAATTACAAACGTATATATTTATTTTTATTGTTAAATTTTTATTACCTCTTAATTTGCAATAATATATACAATTATTCTATTTAATATATTCTATGATTCTATTATGGTAAAATATTATTTTAAGTATTACATAAAAATAATAAAATTGTAAAAATGTAAGTAACTAACAAATATGTACTTTCAGATAATAAATACTGACTACCTATTTTTTTTTCTTAAATGATTATATGTATCTATGCACTATAAAAACATTTTTCAATTAAAATGTGCTGCAATTTTAAATAATCTGGAGAAAAAACTTTCCGTTATTTTGTTAACTGTCATATTTTTATCGCAGTAAAAGTTTATATCCAGGTACTGTGGTATGTACTTATATATATTAGTGCATTGGTTAAAAAATACAATTGCAATTGTTTGGACACTGGTTATAATATAAGTTATAGATACTTACCCAACGAAGGATTAATTCTTCGAATTTGTCCATATTAACAGTTCGAGCTCAAGAGAAACTAAAATAATATTAATAATAATTTACAACATTGAAAAGTATTCAATATTTATAAATTAATTAATGCTTTTAACGGGTATAGATACAATATTCAAATAACCGACACAATGACCGTTAAAAATGTTCACATGCAATTCGACATTTATTACGCATTATCAATTGACCGTTAACGAAATCGGGTAATGTAAGCCGTGAATGTTTTCCAAAGACGTTATATAAGCTTTTACAGAGTATTTGGAATTATCAAAGAATAGATAAGATAGCTGAATCGTGCTGATAAGAGTGATCCGAAAATAACACATTCATCAGATCGCGCGCTAAACAGTTGTGATTAATTGTATTACTTCTGCGTAAAATACATAATATATATTATATATTATGTAATATAATTTTTATTTACATAATTTTTATATGTACAGTATTGAACCTATATATTGGTTTTTTTTGGTATTTTTGTCGTTCGCCCGTTTTTACTTGTCTCATACGGTCTACCACGCTTGTTTATATAAAAATATGCATTAATTTATTATAATATATTAGTAAATTAATGTATTACAATATAATATGTTAATAAGTAAGTATTAAAAAATTAAAAGTTTCGGTTTGCTTTTTTTTTTCTTTGCGAGTATAGAATTTAGTCTACGAGCCGAGAAGTGTCGATTTCATCAAGTCCTTTTTTCTTTAATATTTCCCTTTACATTTTACTTAAAGTAACGCAATTGTAATGCAATTATTTTTAAAGAGTAATTTCTATGATGTAACGCACTAAGGCCGCTCGTACATTGGAGAGCGTTAAACGTCGTCTTCGATCGTCAGAGGCGCGACGCGTCACAAATCAAACATGTTCGAATTTTGCCGCTCGACGCTCATATATTTAGCGGGTGTGAACAATCTAGTAGTGGTGTAGTAGATAGGTTTCTACACTTAAATAGATTTATATAACTTAAATATATTTCAATTGTATAGCTATACGTAGCTGGTAGTGTAGGTAGATACTGTGCGAACATGTATATACATAATATAAAAATAGCTTATAACATGCGATTAATAATACATAATAATTCATGTAATAATAATTATTATTATTCTAAAGTTTAATATCTATTTTGACTAAATTAGTTAGTAGTTAAATACATGTTTACTTTTTCTTTGTACCTACCCGTTGAGCTACTATTGAGTATTGATAAAGCTATTGATGTAATAATACTTTAAGCTTTAAGTGTACTCAGAGTGGGGATTAAAAATTTTTTTTCTAATTTACAACTCGCGAAAATTGAATAGAATAGAAAATTTCTATACTATACAATTATTTTATTATATTAAATGTAATATAGTAATATTAAATGATCAACACCGCTCGAAAGTATTATGCATTGTGCGCACCTTTGACGCTCAACGATCTCCAATGTACGCGCGGCCTAACGCGTTATTTTACACGTTATTTAATAAAATAACAGTTTTTAATGTATTACAAAAACAAGCCGATAAGATATTCCAGAAAAATTAAAAATCAATTTTATTTATTTTTGATTCCGTTAATAGTTATTAATATTATTAAACATTCCAGGAATTAGTGTTATTAGGTACTTCATTATCAGAAAGAAAAAAGTTTGGCTTAAAAATGAAATTTAATTAATATGAATTATGATTTACGACTTATGAGTAAATCATCAATCTACCTATATAGGTATATATCCTATATGGCTCTATAGGTTCACATTTAAAACTCTTATACCTCTCTGTTAATACCTTACCAGTCTGCAGTCATTATTTACAATCAATACTATATACTATACTGTACCAGCGGTTCTTAACCTGTGGTCAGCGGCAGCTCTAACATATAACATACATCGATACATGACATGAGTGCATTATTATAATATTGTTCGATTATTATTGTTACTATTTTTTTTTTATGTATTTTTTATTGTATACCTAATAGATTTTATCATTATATGATAATATAATAATAATGATATAATAATATATAATAATAATATGATAATATAATAATAATGAATTAAATTTAAGTTGACTGAATAATTATGTCAAATAAAAATAATTATAAATATGTATGTTTTGTTATGTCTATCAATGTAATTTATTATTATAATTTTTGTTTTAATAATATGAGATGTTTTTTAAAAAAAAAATGTACTCGAAAAAAAAATTAGTAAGGGTACCGCAATTTCTAAAGATCTTTTATCAGGGGTCCGTGATCTACAAAAGGTTTAGAACCGCTACTATATACTATACAGTATAAATATAATTATAATTGTATAACATATTAATAGGAATACCATAACCTATAGATATTACTATAGACATATAAATTAGTTTATAATTTTAGTTTATAGGTTTATGGGTATTACCACAGAATAGATTAATCTATTATTATTACTTATTTGTTATAATCAACCTGACTGAAGACTGAAGTATCAGCAAGTGTAAAGTGTATCAAATATCACTGAACTTCCATGGCCAACATATAATAAATATTTTGAAGTTACATCTACAGATAGTAAGAACTTTTTCGTGAAGTGCAAATTATGTATTAAATCCAAAACATATTCTACTGCCATAAGAAGTAGTTCAATTTAAAAAACACATGAAAGTAAGTAGAATTCATAATTATTAAAGAATAAAGGAGTCGTAAAATAGTTACTGAAATGTGCATTCGTATTATTGTTTTATCTAAGTACCTACCTACTACTTAGTACATACTTATTATAGTATAGCATGGGAGTTAATTTTAAACAATTGTCATTGAGATAGTTATTCAAAAAATGCGAATTAGTCAATTACATGAAATAAAATATAATTTTTACATATGTATTTGACTATTTTATTATTTTTATGCTGACAGTCAATGTTTTGTTACCTACAGGTTTAATTTTTATGATATTAATTTCCTCAAATTATAATTATTAGATGAGATGATTGTACATTTTTATATAATCCTAAATTTTATACATAATAGGTATTTTATCTCTAGGTCTATGATTGTAAAATATATAATATGAATTGAATATGGTTCAAAATAAAAATAACTGTTATCAAAGATAAATAAAAAGTAACATTACTTTTTAACGCATTACTTTATTAATGAAAAAGTAATGTAACATGATAAAAATTATTTTAGGTAACACAAATGTAATTTGAATATAAATATTTGAAGTTACGAGTAATGAAATTTCATTACTGTTTAAAAGTAATTTAGGTACCCAACACTGAACATTTGTGACAATCCCCTTGGCTGTAGATTTTTTTAACTATGTTTTGCTGTTGTTGAATCTGGAATATAAGATTTTAAAATTGTTAAATTATTTGAGCTTAAAAATGAAATATGGGTTCAGCTAAAAAACCATATAATTTAATTTCAGCTCTTTTAAGATCAACACTTTTATCTATGATTATATCAGATGTTTTATTAAAAGTTGCATATTTTGATTTATGTTTTAAATTTATACTGTGATATTTTAAACTTGTATGACCAGAGAACAAAAAAGTGTTACAAATTATATATTTAGCTTTAGAGATATAACCTGTGACAGGATACAGTCAGGATTTGAATTCAGAATTTATTTTCCAAGATTAAGTAGAACAGATTTCAATGTTTTTTGGTTTTGTAAGATTTATATCCATTAGCATTTGGCTCTCTTTTTAAGTGGAATTTAGGTCATCTTATTTAATATTTGCTTGTTTTTCAATGTTGTTAAATATTAGTATCAGAACTACTAAAATTACTTTAGATGTATGTATTATAATTTGTCCATTGTGAAGGGAGAAATTATGTTTAGGTAAAGAATTTAAAAATTAAGAGTTGTCAAAGCCAAAACACGAGTCATGTGCGAGTATTGTTTGTTATAAAAAGTGAAGATGAAATTAATTCCATGAAAATTTAATTAATTATTATTTTTGGCTCTGAGGAGAGTGGAATCCAGTACCCCTTAACCCCCCTGTAAATATGTCAATGAGCTCCGCAATGAGGTTATAGATTGTTGTATATTTGTGTTTTTATATAATTTTAAATTGATAAAAATTGATCATTTTGGTTGATCCCATTTTTTATTGAAGCATATAGTTTTTCAGTTGTCTAGTCCTCTTGCATTTTTTTTTTTGTTTTTAAATTGATCAACAGAAATAGTAATAATAAATAATACGTAACATTATTAATTGTCTTTGGAACAAACTGACATTAAAATACTTGTGTTTAAAACGATGACGTTTCTAGTTTATTTTATTTAATTATTTACTGAAATATTACGCAAATTGTAAATTAGTATTAATTTGTAAACCCAGAAATCACTTAACTCAGTGTTTATTAACTCAAAGTTTATTCGGGAACGACTCGCAGATATACAATTGGCACTGCCCCTTCGTCGCTTTTTAATATTTGCGTCACAGCTTACTTCTGTATTAATTTTATTAATGAATTTATATTGAAATTAAAAAATAATTAATCAACTACCCTGAAAATTAATTCGATTACTATGAAGGATTCGTGATAAATGAAAAACTGTTAATAATTATAATTACCCTGATTATACAAATTTATACAATTATGTATGAAAGTTGAAAGAGTTAGTTTAGTCGATTAGACAGCAATAAGAATTGGACTGTAAGAGTCATCTTACTTGGATAAACCGACGGCGACGAGTTCTCAAGGTGGTGGGTGATTACAAAATCACATTAATTATTTAGGTATTATATATAATTTTTTTATCGTTTGATGTTATTAGAAAGCAAAGATATATATTTTTTATTTATTTTACATAGGTACCTACATTTTTGAGTGATTGGAAGTCAAAGTGTACCTAACTTGTTATGTACGTTCATATAGAGCGGCATTAAGCGAATAAATTATCTTTATAAATATATATCTATTATAAATACAAATTAAGAGTTATTTAAGATAAAAACGGCTTTATTTTGCCAGTATATCACTAATCCGTAACCTATTTTTGATTTTTTTTTTTTTTTGGGAAGGGGCCGAGAAAAGTAGCTTTTAAATATATATGATACGTTTCGGATTGTAGTCTTAATATTTAGCGATGCACTGTGAAAAGCCAAAACGGTATTATAAGTCAAACGGTAGAGTGCAGCACTAAACTGTTTTCCAAAATAATGTAAATATCTTG